AAAAGGCGCGGGGGAACGCTGGTGAGGGGTGGGACACGGCGGGGGGGCGCAGCGCGACGCGGAATGCAGTGGTCGGGGCGGATGGAGCCCTGGACGGAGGTTCCACTGGGCCGCTGGGGAACGCCGAAGAAAAGGGCGGGGGGGGCGGGGAAGGGGGCGCGCGGTGCGACGCGGGATGAAACGGTCGGGGCGGAGGGGGCACCAGCGGAAGTTCGCGACTGCCTCCAGAGCTCTTCCCACCAGAGTGTTTACCGAGTTCGGAGAGTCAAGTTTCGGTGGCTGCCAGATCGGCGGAGGTATCGACCCCCACATCGGTACAACAGCTGCCGAAAAAGTACCTCGTCATCGTAAACATGATCGTTTTGAAGATAACTGCCATAGTAGCCTCATGTGCAAGGAACTTTGGTCTGCACGTAAAGCGAACCGCTGGCCGCATTCCCAGCGGTACAAGTGATCGTGCCGTTTGGTATCCAGCTCGTGGTGTCAGCTCAGCTACGCACAAGACAGACATTATCGTTGCTGCTGTGCTGATGAACCTCGCCATTATTTCCAACGCGACGTTCTCGGGATCTTCGTTCAGTAGACAAGGAAGGATGCCTGTCACGATCGTGAAATCAATCGATAGTTCCATCCAAGTAGCACTCTGCGGGCATATCTTCGCATCATCGTAGCTCCATTCCAAGTGAGTGAAATACCATACCAGCGCTGGGAACATCTGGAGCTGGTAGTGCAACTCATCCGCTTTGATGTGTTCAGGTATCTCTGGGTTCCACCTCCAAGGAGCTCCCCCCGCCATCGTCGGGTTCGGTACCACAGAGTCCCACTCATATCCAGGACAAGTCGTCTTCGGCGCCCACTCCATGGGGTTGGCTGTGTAGCTTGGCCCAGCTGGTGTACTCGTCGAAGTAGTTGGTGCGTCTCCCACTGATTTCTGCTGCAAAGGATGCCTACCCCTGAGGCGTCTTTGCACCGTGGCCGTGGTAGGTGGGGCGTTCTTCTTCTCGGAGGTGACGGCGTAGTACTTGGCATTTTTTGGCGGCCCATTGCTGCCCTATCGAACAGCAGGACGAGTATGATCGCAAACAGGCGCCTCCTCATCATGTTGGCCCATTACAAGGTGAGCCCACTGGTCGTCCTCGTCTTGCTCCTCATAGAAGAAGCCCTGTCCTCTTCCTCTTGTCGATCTTCAGCTTGCAAGTAAGCGTGAACCTGCGCACATCTCGTATATTGCGCATCTCGGCCCATGGCCTTGAGCTCCGCCGCTCTCGTGCACAGGATCCTGGCTGCCGTGACCTGCCGCAGCTAGCACACTTGCTGATCTCGAAGATGTTGTTGCAAGACAGCCGTCGGTAGAGCCTGCGCCCTCGCCGCCTCAACCGCACCTCTGCCTGCAGCACGATTGTCTTCCCAAACAAGAAGCTCCTCGAGCCAGATGCCCTCCTCTTTCCTGTGCGCCTTTCTCTTTTGAGGAGCGAGATGCTCGACTCATTTTGCCCTGGTGCCATGCCCTGTGGCCCGCCAGAGGTCCTGCCCCCCGCGGCCTCGATGGCCCGGCGCCGCCCGCGTCTGGGCGCGGCGCCCCTGAGCCCGCGGAGCCGCTCGGGCCTCTCGAGCTCGGCCGCCTCCAGCAGCCGCACAGGAGGAGGAGGAGGAGGAGGAGGGGGAGCAGGAGAAGGCGAAGGAGGAGGAGGAGGAGGAGGAGGAGGAGGCCAGCGCAACATCGCCCTCGCTCCCCCACTAGGCCCGGCTGCACTCGGAGCCCTGGGCCACGTTCAGCCGCAGGTCCCGCAGCGCAGCGCGCGCGGCATTGAGGCTGGTTGAGGGGAGGCACAGGACAGAGAAGGGCAAAGAACGAAGAGAATGGTAGACATGGTGGGCAACATACACTTCTTCGAGGACAGCGATGGCGCAACTCGGGATCCCCCAGCTTTGCAAAGGGTCGGGCGGCAAAGAACGATAGCGGAGCACCGACGAGATCGACCAAGCGAGCCGTCGACACGATGCATAATGACCCTGCCTGTCGGGCTGCTGTTCACCGCCGAAAATGCACCCTAGACGCCCACGCTCATTCAGAATCCTGCGGGAGGTGAGCCACCCGCCACACATGGTACAATGCCAAGCCCAGGCCCAGGATGGGGGAGCGGACCGCAGGACCACACGGATAGCCTCCCGATCAACATTCATGATGCACTCTCTGCGCTCTGGCCACCACTTCAATAGACGCGGCTGGCAGTGAAATTCAAGGGCGGATGATGAGAGGGAGGACAGACACGCGAGCTTGGCCGCCCGCTGGTGCTTGCACGGAGCGGCTCGGCGAGCAGCAGCTGCAGCGGCGAGGAGAGCGCCGTCCGCGCTGGACCCCGCCTCAAAAAAACATCTCGGCGAAGGACGGGCACCGCCAGTGAGGAGGGCACCGACGGGCTGCTGGAAAAAACAGTGAGACGACACATATCGAGCTCACGGGACTGAGGCGCGTCGGTCTGGCGCGCCAGGAAGTCGAACATCTGTTTGTACCCGGGGATAGTCACGATCGCCATGCGAGCCCGCGCAGCAGCACATGCGATCTCGAGGGGGCACGCGCTGGGCCCGTGCCAGTTTTCAGTTGCGCCCAGCCCCGTTCACGATAAGCTCCCAGCGGCAGACGGAAAGCTTGTGCAAGAGCGCCGCGCCCCGCTGCACGGAGGTCAGCTGGCGGCGGGAGGAACTGCATAACGTAGCTCAACACAGGCGCGCAGCGAGTATTGAATAAAAACAGCTGACGACGATGCGGGCGCGTTACCAGCGCCCACCGCAGCAGCACGTTCCATGAACTTCCCCCTCGGAAGAGACCAGGAATCAGCCAGAAGAGCGGCAGGCCCGATCCAGAGGCCCAAGTGAAACAGCTTAGATCTCACTCGAAAGTCACACCACTCGGGGATGAACGTCTTCAGGAAGTCCTGGACACGTTTTTCAGCTCCGAGGCAAATGGGCCCGAAACAGGAACCAGGACACACTTGGAGCGCTCCAAGCGAAGGTTGGCCGTCGCTTCCACTACCTTCATCACACGGCGAAGCGGTAACAAAAGACGCAGATCATCGGTGGCACCACCGAGGTCATCAGCACACGCGCGATTGACACCACGACGGGGAGCCTCAAACGAGCGGTGGAGGTCACGATCAGCAGGAGATAAGGCGGCGGCAAACAGAGACTCCGAGAGAGCACAGCCCTGGATGATACCCGAGCGGATCCAGAACGCGTGCAGCAGCGATCCCTGGACAGAGACGACCCCTTCGATCACCTCGTACAAGATCGACACGAACGAGGTGAGCTGGGAGGGACAACCCATCTTGCGCAGTACCAATAGCACGAACTCCTGATTGAGACTCGGGAAAGCCTGTCCATAGTCCAGGGCGCACAGCAGCGGGCAACGATGATCAGCTTCGGGCAGAGCCGAATGCACTCGAGACAGAACGTCCACTTCCACCAAATTCTGGCAATACATTCTCCCCTGCATGAACCCCCTCTGGTCAGGCGGAGCAAAACGAGCGAGCGGCTCGCAAAAGGCGACGTTAACCGTGGCCGCGAGCAGCTTGATGCTCGCGCTGCGCAAGCCAATCACACGAACAGCAGACGCCTCCCGTTCACATCCCCCCCCTCCCGCGTGTCAGTGTCAAGTGCCCCCTTCGGTAGAAAGGCCTGCAGTGTGATGGCCTCCGCCAAATAAACCCCATTCCCCTTCCATCACCCACCAGAGAGTGTCGCGCAGCGTGAGGCGGCCAAACGGATGAGCAAGCCACGCAGCATAACAGAGGCGATCCACGCCTGGAGCAGAATCACTGACACGAAGTGCAACTGTCTTCAGCAACGCGAGCGAAGGCGGCAGGCAATCAGAGAAGTCGACGGCCTGGGCGAAGCGGTCGCAACACGCGCCGGCAGTTTTGACGGCCCTGGGTTGGCGAGCAAAGACAGGGCCCCAATGAGAGACCATGGCTTCGTGACGATCTTGCAAACCCGAGAAGCTCTGCCCACGAACGACGACGGCACGAAGAATAAGACGGCCAGCGAACGGCGCCCAAATCCTGGCCCTCCTCTCGATAGCCTGAAGCATCTGACGTTCTTTATGTCGAACACCCTCCCCCTCTGCATGTTCGAGACGAGACCGAGCAGCAGCACGATCGAGGTTCGGCGCCTTCAGTTGCACCTCGTTGGACCAGCGCTGGAAGGAAGCAGGGCGGATGAGTACGACCTTCGCGCCTTCCACGCAGATAAAATCAGCAGCGGCAGCATGCGAACGAAGAAGGCGAGAGGCGGTCGGCACGTCCTGGCGCCAGATCGCACGTGCAATAGAGCGGGCCAGGAGTAACAACGTACGCGGGTCCGTTGGGCGGCGGAACATCAGGACATCTCTCGTTTCCCTGCCCGGTTCCTGCAGCAACTCCTTATACCGCTCGAGCCTCCTCGGCGGGCACATTGCGAGCAAGTGCGAAGATTCCGCTTCGACGAAGGCTGCCAGTATCTGCTTGTATTCTTTCGTGCGGCAAAGATGTCTAGGAATGGGGCGTTCAGCGGGCTCTCGAGGCTTGCGGTGACCAAAGGAGACACACAAGGCGGCGTGGTCGCTGATCTTCGCCCGATGGAGGACCTCTGGAGACCCCTCAACATAAGCCTGCGAGTACACCTGAGCACGACCCCATCCAGGCCAGCCACACCAGAACCTGTCGATAGCAGCAACCGAGTTGCCATGCGCATCGAAGTGAATGGCCTCGAGTGGGGTGATCTCGACCAGAGAGTCGAGAGCAGCCGTCCACCGCGACGCCTGTGCATGCGCGGGGCGGGCCGCCCGCTGGGCCTGAGCCCCCGATGGCCGCGAGAAGCTCAAGTTTTCCTCGCCCGCAAAGTTGAAATCGCCATGCACGACAAGCAGCACAGATTCAGGAGAAGATTCTGGAAGGGCCCGACCCCGAGTTATTTGACCCCACACATCGCTTACTTGTCCCGAAGATAAATCATGATTGTGAATGCTGTAATGAATTAAGGTGGTGTCCTGATTTTGCAGGCCGGCACGGATGACACGACCAGGAACGAGCACACTCAGGGAAGAGGTGACGCCAGCAGGCAGCGTCGGCGAGTAGGCGCCTCGCACTAAAATATCAGGAACGACAGTGGCGACACCGCCGCGGATCCCCCCCGCACGGTCGGCACCGCAGAAGCTCGAACAAATAACAGCCTCAGGCAACGCACGACGCAGGAAGGTAGCTAGTTGGGCCTCGCACTGGTGGGCCTCCTGGAGGGCGGTGACTGACGAGCCCAGTCGGAGCCTCTGGAGGTACCCCAATGTCACACCAGCGTGGGCACCTTCAAATTGGAGAAGTGCTCGTGGGTTCCACAAGACAAAACGCAGGCCACTGGCTGCAGTGGCATCACACAAAAACTGGACAGACGAGCGGCCAATCAGCGCAGCGAAACGGCTAAAGGCACCACTCAGGCCCTCGCCCGGGTTCGATGATATCCTTGACCGCATCGACGAGCCTGTCCTTCGGCACCGAGTACTTGCTGATCGTGCCAGGGTTCCACAGCACGCGAGTCGGCTCACGGCCAGGCAAGCACTCGAGCTTGCACAACGCATCCCATCTCAGCGAGAGCCAGCCTCGATCCCGATCGAAGAAGACCCGCTGGCTGGCGCCATACAGCTCCACGAACTTGCTGCGTAACTTCCTGTCAATGACCTCCGTCTTGATCTGCTTCGCATTCTTGTCCTGGGACAGGTGAAGCCTCGCCTGTCCCCAAGCATGCGCCTCCACGTTGAACTCCCGCCACGTGTTGCCGACGCGCAAGGAGGCCAGCAACTTCTGAACCCGCCGCGCGGCCAGGCCGACTGCACCCTTGAGCTGGATGGTGAAGAACTTCGAGAGGGGGTCCGTGGCCGTGAGCTCCCACTGCTCCGAGGTGACGCCAGACTCCTCGACCCAGGGCGCCAGCACGTCATGGACAGCGGACTTGGCAACAAGCTTGCCCGCAAAAACTTGGATGATCGTCTCATCGGTGTCACGTGTGAAGGTGTCCGAGCCAGCAGCAGGTCGAGGTGCGGGAGTCGTCGAGTTGGCGACCGCGAGGGCACTCTGCAGCTGCTTGATCTGCTCCTGCATTTCACGCAAGAGCTTGTCCTGTAGGTCAACACGAGTGTCAACCGCCATGATATCCATCTTGAGGCTGTCACACCGGGTGTTGAGCTCACGTCTGACCTCGTCGATCTTCGGAGTGACGGCGGCAACGATCTGGGCATCCAACTTCGAGGGCAACGCGTCGAGGTCGGCTTTGCACTTGCTGAAGCATTCGTCCAGGTTGGACGCCAGGAACTGCTGCATGGTGGGAGTTTCGGTCTTGACAGTGGACGTGACGCACTCATCAATGTGCGCGTTGAGTGCAGCCTGGTACTTGGCCATCTCTGATCCGAGGAGCTCGGCGACCATGATGCGGACGTGCTCAGGGTCGACTTCCATCTCGTCGTCGGTGTCGTCCATGTCCATGGCAATGGCCGAAGGAGAAGAGCTGCCACCAGTAGCACCAGCGCTAGAAGGCCGAGCACGCCGCTGGAGCTTGAGCATCCTCTTGCCTTTGTCCACGGAGCTACGGATGACCCCCGCGGGCGGCGACGCGGGAGCGCGGCGCACGGACGAGACCGTGGCGACATCAGCCGCGGCCATGGGACTGGAGGTGAGAGCAGACAAGTGGTGGGGCCCAAATCCACCCGTGAAGGCGCGAGAAGTGTCCGCCTGGGCTCGCGCCCAAGAATGCCCTCTCCAGGAAGGCTGCCCACTCAAGAAAGACTTGAGCCAAAATGGCAACGGTGGAGGAGGAGGAGGAGGAGGAGGAGGAGGAGGAGGAGGGTACCCTTTCTGCGCCTGCAGCTTCTCCCAGCAGCCCGCCCCGAACAGCCCGTCCACGCCCTCGGAGATGGCAGCTCTTGGCAGCCACGAGACCATCACCTGGAGCCCCATGACCGGCCCGCTCGCGGGCCTTCCTCTGGTGCTTCTCGCGCTCCTCAGATGTGGGCGAGCTCCCCTTCACGCCCTTCACCCAGACGTGCCCTGGCACCGCCAGCCCAGCTCCGGCCCGCTGTCCGCGTAGGCTTTGACGTAGCGCTGGAAGCCGTCCTTCCATGCATCGCCGTCAAACACCAGGAAGTTGGGGCGGAACCCCGAGATGGCCACGACGGCGGCCTCGTCCTGCCGCGGTCGGACGCCCCTCTGCCCCGCCGCGGGCTTCCCAAGGCCAGCGTCGAAGCCCTTGACGTGGAGCACGTGCTTCCCAGCTAGGAGCATCCACGGCTCCTCCCGAGTCCAGGACTCGGACGGCGGGAGCCGCGCGTCCGGAGCAGCGCCTCTCGGCGACCTCCCGCGCGTTGGGGCCGCTCCTGGGCAGGACGCACCACGCCCTTGCGCTCCCTCGAAAAAGACCGCGAGCCACCTCTCCTGGCACTCTACGCTGGGCTCCCCTGCCCGTTCAGCCGCCGCACCACCCCCGCCGCTCTCAGGTGGTGCTCGTGGCCCTCGCCGACGAACACCGCCCGAGCGACGAGAAGACAAGGGCCTCACGCACGATATAAAGAGCGACCCTGCGTGGCGACTTGCGCGGGCCGCCAGCACAGCACGCCGCAGTGGAAAAACGGGGGCACGCACGCGCCATCCTGCATCGCGCAGCCGAGCCCGTCATGCTGCTCGGCGGCGTCCGAGAGAGGAGGGCGTCCGAGAGGAGGGGGGTCCCAGAGCATGGCTCGGGGCACGCGCGCGGACGAGGCGGCCCAGGGGACGTGCGGCAAGAAGAGGAGGGGCCGTGAGATCCGAGGAGATGCCGTGGCCCCCGCCGGGACATCCGCCCTCCCCTACACTCGGACCCGGGCCAGAGGAACACCCCTCCGGAACACGAGACCCCACGACCAAAAAGAGCAGTAACATGCAAGGGTGCCCTCCCCAGGAGGCACAAAAGCATCCGACAAGCACGAGAAACACCAGGGTTCACCCTCCCCGAACCGACCTCAGTCTCGGTCCTCGATCCGGCTGTAATTATCCCTTCCTCCTCGCGCGCTCCCGCGCTGCGCCTCCCGCCCGCCCGCCTCGGGGGGGGCCCCTCGCCGACGCAGCGGCGACGGGCCACCAACCGCGAGCCCGAATGCTCCTGGGCGGGGTGGGGCCAGCAGACCCCCGCCGACGATCCATGGGCGGTTCGGGGTCGACGCGCCCCCCCCCCTTCAAAGACGGTGCTGGGAGCCTTTCGTAATCACCTGAGTGGCCGCAGTGGCGCCTCCAGTGGCCGCCAATGGCCTCCAGTGGCCTCCAGTGGCCGTCAATGGCCTCCCGATCGGGCGCAGAAGGCCCTCCAATGTGAACCCCGCTATTAAAAATCCAGAGGGCCCGCGCACGCGCCCGAGGAAACAGTTCTGCCCGAGGAACAATGGCCCCCCTGAGCCCGTCCCCCCCATGTCCTTCCCGTCGCTCTTCTGCGCCGCGCCCAAGGACCACATTTCCAGAAACGATGTCGAGCACCCCGGACGGTGCCGAAACAGTGTCTGCCCGACGCGCTGGCGAAATGTCGAGACCGAAAATATCGCCTCCCGGGCCCCGACACGTCAGAAAAGCCTGCAAAATTCGGTACGCTCATGGTGCTCGAAACTCTTCCTGGCGGTCGAGGCTAAAGCAGGTCGGAAAACCATGATGCCCCGCCTCCCCGCCTTCTTCTTGCACCTCCCCGGCCACAAGAGACCCAACCCTGAGACCCCAGAGGAGGAGGAGGAGGAGGAGGAGGAGGAGGAGGAGGCGGAGGAGGAGGAGGAGGGGGAGGAGGAGGAGAGGAGGAGGAGGGGTAGAGGGAGGAGGAGGAGGAGGAAGAGGAGGAGAAGGAGGAGGAGGAGGAGGAGGAGGAGGGGGAGGAACACGGCCCCGCCTTCTTCTCGTGCCTCCCCGCCTCCCCGCCGCCGCACAGCCGGGAGCTGCAGCCCACGGGCCCAGCGGCCCCGCCGCCCTGCGCGAGGGCCGCCTGCGGCGCGGGTTCCTGCCCGCGCGGCGGCGCCGGAGGAAGAAGCAGTGGCAGGCAGCAGGAGCTCGGCGCCACAAGAAACCCAACCGTGAGACCCCAGAGGAGGAGGGGGAGGAGGAGGAGGAGGAGAAGGAGGAGGAGTAACACGGAGCAGGAGGAGGAGGAGGAGGGGGAGGAGGAGGAGCCGGAGGAACAAACAGTGGCATGCAACAGGAGCTCGGCCACAGGAAGCCCAACCCTGAGACCCCGGAGGAGGAGGAGGAGGAGGAGGAGGAGGAGGAGGAGGAGGAGGAGGAGGAGGAGGAGGAGGGGGAGCACGGCCACGAGAAGAGGTCAGAGGAGGTCAGATGGAGGAAAGCGGGGTGCGGCTGTCGGAGAGGAGCTTGCTGTCACAACCTGTGGGGGGCGACATCCCACCAAGCCACCCCCCGAAAGAAGGGGCAAGCAACGCAGCGAACATGACCAAGAGACGGAAAACGTCAGCGAGAAACGGTTGCATTTGAACCGCGGTGTATTCCTCACCCGCAGCTGGAGACCACAGGCGAACGTATCATTTGATGCTTGGTGAGCGCACGGTTCTGAGCCAGCTCAAGACTGGAGCGATAAACTGGCTGAAGCGTGTATGGCGGTATCCGGGTTGCACGCGCAGGACAAATCGTGCCCCCGCAGGTACAAGTCGCCCTGTCACTGCCATGACCCACGGGCACCTACGTGCCAACTGTTCGAAGCGAGCCCGCGCAAGCCCCAACGGCCGGTCACGGATGAAACGCCGATGTCGCATGTCGTCATAGGCCTTGCACACGACATCGCAGAAGAGTGCAATGGACAAGAGGGCCTCCACGAGCAGAGTGAACAGGCGCCAGCAGCACAGACTTGACATGTCATCCCCGATGACGAAGTCATTGGGGAGGTCAGGAAAAGCGCTCGCAAACTCGTTAAACCGAGGGCACTCTATGACATGCCGAATGTGGTCACCCCTAGGCGTTCAACATGCAATGCACGAATTGGCTGTTCCAAATCGCCCAGAAGGGCACTGGGAGTTCGTGAGAAAGTCCGCAGGAGGAGGAAAGAGAGCAGAGAGGGACGTGAGGAACAGTGTGGCAGAAAATGGTGATGACGAGAATGCCTTTCTCGCCGGTTAGCGGCACGGCTCCGCTGAAGACCTGCGCCCGTATCCTTAAAATCTCCCCGCACGGGTCGTGTGCAAACGAGGCGAGATACCGTTCCACTTGGTGCTGCAGATCCCTGTTTTCGGAGGGAAGCGCGGGGAGGGCGGTCAGACTCATGTAATTGTCAACCATGTCCCGGAAAAGAGATTCCCTCCACAGGGGATAGCTCCTCCAAGCCACCACGCACTCCCAATCATCTTCAAAGTCAGCGACCAGAGACATGTCATTCTGGAAGGCTTTGGAACGACTGGCGGCTCGAAACTTGGCAGCCCAGCCAGCGTGCTCTAGAGACCGTGCTTGGATAGGAGAGCAAAGGGAGCGGAGGCAGCAGAGGAGGGAGGAGGGCATGGCGTTCCAAGGTGCGCACACGGCACGTTGCAGCGCCTCGCGCTCGATGCGCACCCCCCCGGGACCAACAGGGCAGAACCGTGAAACATACAGCACGTCAACCCTGGCATGGCCAACATGTTACAATGGTTGAGGGCTTCCTGCAGTCCTAGGCCAGGCGCGCGCACCTGCTCCACGCGAAATTGCTACTCGGTCGGGGGGGGGCACGCCAAGTTTCGGATCGAGACCCGTACCCGAGGACCACCCCAGGGCAATTTCCATTCGACAAAGTCGCAACGGCCAATTCGGAGCCCACGTCGCGCCATCTCTTGACGGAAGGCTTCGGGGGAGAGCTCATCGAGAAGAACAACAACGGTTTCCCTTCAGCGAGAGCGAGGCCAAGCCCAGCGCCAGCCAAGGCCCATATCCCCAAGGATCTGGTGGGGCTCGCAACGAGATCCCCGGCCATAGGCCAACGTCGTCGGCAAAAGCTCCACACGCGGCGAACGAGTTGAGCAAGCGAGACGCGTGCATCTGGAGAACGCAATCTATGCAAAGAGTGAAAAGACTCCCAGAGAGGGGGATGAGCAAACGACACGCTGGGGGCAGCGCACGTCTGTCGATCAGCGAAGCTGCGGCACCGCACCGCCCACGAGGCAACGAGGCAGCCTCAGGGCACGGCGGGCGGCTGCAGCGGCGGCCAGGTGGATCACGTAAGGGTTGTTTTGGTGGGCCGAGGCGGCAGCCGTTGGATGGTCGGCCTCGTGCTTGGAACGCAGGATGTTGCACGCGCGGCAGGCCACCGCGAGGCGCGCGATGACATGGCGAGGACGGTCGTCGTCGGCCGCTGGACTCGCCAGGCCAATGCGCTAGAGGAAGTCCGATGAGGGCTGGCCGTGCGGCACGGCGACGATCGCCCACAGGCGCGGGCAGGTCACGCAGTGGCTGATGTCGTCCACGTTCCTGGAGTATTCGCGCGGGTCGCACCCGAACAAGCACGGCTTCTTGCGGGGGTTCACGTGCACGCGGCACATTGTAGCCCAGGCGCCCGTCAGCGTCTTGACCGCGGGCCAG